TTATTATTTGATATTTATATACTATTTAATATCATTTAATATTTATTATCAATACTTATAATTATTAAGGTATTTAGAGATATTTTGAATTAATATAGATTTGGTATCTTTAACAATAGAGACATCCAGGTGAAGACGAAACTGGATCCAACTTTTATAATGGAAACAGAGACAGTATTAACCGAGATCACGTGATACATTTTCGACCACATTCTGGAAGCAATACAGCATCCGAAGCAAACAGCGGTATCTTCTCATCCCTTAGTAATGGATTCAATTCCTTCGTCAATAATTGGTTCGGGTGATTAATCATGAGTTAGCGAACCGCTAATACTTTCGCGTCACTGAGTTTTCATACGAACCTTATACTGGCCAACAGAAACCACGAAACATTGTTGAAGATATTTATCGTTACCTTTTATTCTGTTATGTTATAAACGATATAATAATTATATAGATATCACTGATAGAATCGAGACTCTTTCAAGCAACGAGGAAATTTTGTCGTTCGAAAAAGTCGAAAAAGAGATAAACACAGGGACTTCAAATTCAACTGTACATAATCTGACATGTAGATATTATAGTCCAGTGAACTATATACATCTTATTTTATTTTAATCGCAGCTATTAATTTCGATTATTTATTTCTTATTTATACGTTTAAATTGGCTATTTATATATTATTTAAGAAACGTACATACAATAATGTAATAGTCATCTTTATTTTTATTTTTATATGTCGTTTAAAGTATTTATTACTGTTAGAAAGAATACTATGATTTCCAATGAAAATTTCGTTATGTAATAAATTATGTTTTATGTTAAATATTTAAAAACACGTTGCGTTAACTTTTTAGGTTAATAAAATTATTTTCGAGCATCGCAAACATTTGCCACGATTTATCTTCAAATATTTTTTCTTCTTTGACTTTATCTGGATATCGGTTTTGCTTCTAGTCTCTTGACAAATGAGATTCTAGTCTCTTGATCAAAAAGGTACCAATTCACCAGGTCGATATAACTAAAAAATAACTAAAAGGTAACTAGAGGTAACTTAAAACTTAACCAAAAAATATGGTTTCATTTATATCAGTCTCTATCTGCCAACATGTAGTATTATTTTGAAAAAAATATTATCTAGCTACTATTTGATAAAAAAGATACAATTTTCTCATCGATATTGATAACAATTCAAACTCACGTTACTTATAAAAACAGAAAATGGTCAAGAAGACTACGTAATGAAATGAGAAAATTATTCTTCAGATTTTAATTCTTCTTTTTTTGTTAAAAACAAATACTGGCATAATTTTTTATCTTATTTACAAGGAAATTAATATTTAATTACATTGTTTAGAGTATATAACAAATTTTATTAAATGAACAATAGAGCCACCCATACTCATACTACTAAGGAGACAGAAGTGTTGGAATAATGGGATTTTTTAACAATCATATTTCTTTATATTAAACATCGTTTGTTCAAATAGATAGAAAAATTTAAAAAAGCGATCATTTATTCGAAAAATTAAACTTCATTTATTTAGTAAAAGTTATGCATTCGATAACGAAAACAATTTCAGCAGTTTCTGTATTTAAGAGTTCTCTGATGAAATTTCCAAGTTCTGCTTGGTAAAATTTTGTTCGTTAAAAATTCTCTTTGTCCTTTTATTTTTATATTTGTTTATTCCTTTTAATGTTTTTTTATTTAGAAAAAATTATTCGTGTCTCGATAATGCAATGTTCAAATTAAATTTTCATTCCAACCATAATTTCATATCTACTAGTTTTAAAGTTATATAGATAAATAATAGAACACCTAAATATAATACATACGTTATACATATACGTATATATGAAAGTATTAGAAGTGTCTTTTGAATAAGTTCTATTGCAGATTTCTAAACAGAAAACGGCCTTTGTTTCTCTGAAGCATTGTCCTTTTTCCTCTCTCGTACTCTTTCCATTTGTCTCACTCGATACATTGCAACAGTACAAAGGGGTATCTCCAATAAATTGGAGGATTCGAACATGGGAGACTCTATTGTTATTTGTTTCTTTGCACAAAGGCATGCCGAAATATTGTGCCTTCACTATCGAAACAGTCGTTCGCAAAACTCTTTTAAGGATAGCATCAAAAAATGGCCTTAATCATCGAGTGATACTCCATTACTCTCATTCTGTTTTTCGTTGTCCTTGCGTGAAATCTCGAATTAGCCGTGCGAAAAACATAAGGGTAGCCAACAGTCGAGAACTTGCGTAAAGAAAGGGACCTGCTCTATTTTTCTTTGCATATTAAACACAAATTATATTTTTTAAAAGATACAAGTATATATATTGAACGAGAGAATTTTAAGCGATATTACGTGCTGTATGTAACGTGTCATGCGATATTTTATTATAAAGACCGTGTTAAAGAAAGAGACGTTTATTCGAAAGCGAAATACTATCAGTTGATGAGAAGGTGGATAGATGGACGACGCAGATGCATGATGGGTAGCGATGGACGAAACTACGAGCTTCAAATTCGAGACAATTCGAAGTTTTCTAGATTACTAGGATTTAAATCGTTTCAAAGCTGGAAGAAGCATTTAAAGGCTTGTCAATTTTTAAACTTCAAACTCTCGAATCGAAGCGAATGTAGGTTATGTTTCGTACATGAAATAGGTTATGTATGAAACTTTTAAGGGAATGCTTACTACTAGTACAACTATTACTACTACTGAGAATTCAAAGCTTCCAATTATACTCGAAATAGCTCCATTTCCCATCAAATATACAAGGTGTCCCACTTAAGTTGGCACGATGAGAAATAAACAATCTCTTTTTTAGTACTTTTAACTGCAAAATACAAAAATAATAAATACTGAAAGATAGACTAAAATACTAAAGAATATGTATTACCATATTTTTTTAAATCACTTGTATACAAGGTTTTTCGCTGCGTCGACTTAAATGAAACACCTTATATATAGATTCACAGCGATTCGAGATATTTTAAATTTCATCATTTATAGCGATGGATTTTAAAGATTCGAATGGTTTCTAATATGATTCGAAGTCTAGAATTCCTGAAAGTCTTAGAGATCTCGCAAGTATTGAAGATCTTGACAACTTTGAAGACCTTGGGATCCTAGAATCAACTCGAATTTAAAAAATAGATCATGTCCAAGTTTTTCGAGAGATCTAAAATCATATCCAAAGTGATTTGACTTCTTCATCATATACGGGGTGTCCCAGAGACGGTAGTACAACCGGGAGGGGTGTGATTCTACATGAAAAAAACAAATCGAAAATAAAGAATAAAATTTTTCCATTCGAAGCTTCGTTGTCGAGAAAATCGACTTTGCTTATTCACCGAGTGCGCGTGCACTTAACTTTGACTTAAGTAGGTGGACCATTAGCACTAGATTGCCGGAGGTTAGGTATATACCTATTTTGCCTGAAATGAATCAATTTGACTCAAACATCAAAATTGAGGTTTTTTAAAAAAAAATAAAATTTTATTTTAAAGGAACTTGATTTAAAAAAATTTTTATATATATATTCTGTTTTTAAAATACATTTTCCGCAGATTTTTACGAGGCAATACGACCCTCATTCGACAGGGTTGGGTGACGGTACTTGGGATTCGGCTAACAAGGGGCCTGTCTCAACGTAAGTCCGCACGTGTGGTACCCTTAGACCTCGGTGGACTAAGGGGCCATAAACTAGTAAATTGAGAAGTTTGAACATGAAAACTCTCGCATCGGATTGTTAACAAAAAATTTTTATGCACAAGAAATAATTTACATGTGTGTAAAACGACCAACTTTAAAAATATTCAACGACTCAATTTGACTCACATCCGTCAAAATAGGTATAGCATATATGGATTTTTGGAACTAAAGAGTGAGGAGGGGAACGAATTAGTATTTGTATACATTTTATATTTCTATGAAAAAGCAACATATGTTTTAAAAAAAATTATTTTAATTTTTCTATATATATAGCAATAAAATCGTAAATGAGTCAAATTAGTGTTAGTATACCAGCGTACTCGGTGGATATTCAAAGTCAATTTTCTTGACAACGAAGCTTCAAATGAAAAAATTTTATTCTCTATTTTCGATTTATTTTTTCACGTAGAATCACCCCCTTACCGGTTGCACCACCGACGCTGATATATTGATGATCTGACTCTCTAAGCCATAACTAAGTGCACGCGTACTTAGTGAATATTCAAAGTCGATTTTCTCGGTAATGGAGCTTCGAACCAAAAAATGTTATTGTTCATCTTCAATTTGTTTTTTCACGTAGAATCAGCTCCCTTTCTGGTTGTACTACCGTTGCTGGGACACCCTGTAGAGAGATTCGAAGTATTTCAAATCTTATTACGAGCACTCTGTCCATTTCGTCTTTACAACTCCATCTTTATGTATTAACATAATGGTAGAGTAATTATGGTTACGGTACGGTATATTCGTCGAAGCTAAAAATACGAATATTCCAACTTTTAAAAGGATAATTTGAGATATTTAGAAGAAGATAAGACGTTCAAGTGCCAATCAACGTCACACCACAGAAATTTTAAACGAGTTCTTCTATTTCTAGGCATCTCTGACAATGATTTACGAGGAGTTAAATCTTTTGAATATTTTGAAGCATATAATCTTGGAAAAGAGATGTAAGAATTATAGAATATTTACGAGAATTTTCCAAATAGAACCGAACTGATCTTATTAAAACTTCCATTCTTCATTACTTCATTACTATGAATGAAACGAGATGTCAGCTTTCGAGACCGAGATCGAAGTGTTCCGTTTTCCATGGTCACAAAAGTCAAAGTAATATCTTCGTAAAATATATAAAATATATAATATTAATTTATACATAAATCGAATCATTACAATATGAGATATTGTAAATACGACCTAATTTTCGTAATGCAGATATATATTTAAAGTATTGTAGATGTGACACTTTCAGTGAACAACGAAAATTCGTGTAATTTTTATGGTTGTGGTAGAGAAAATGAACTTACGACATTATAGAATATACTAATTTTCATAACACAGGTCGGTATTTAAAATGTTATAGCTGTGACACTTGCAATTGAGAAACATTCCTTCCACTAGCCTTCTCCTCATCAACGGACAGTATAATTATAGCAAGAAGAAAGTTATTGCGATATAGTTACTAGGGAAATCTATATTCCAAGAAACTGTTCAACGTCTTCGAGTACGAAAGTAATATTTTTGTAGGGCGTTTAGTATTCGATAAATACAAGATTAATAAGTGGGTACGTATACGAAGAGAAATGGGCCCATAACTGAATTACCTACATAAAGGTGTGCTAAAGTTTTCGAAGTAAAGATAGTTTAGATAAGTTATTCGGTATATTCTAACGATGCAGTATGTGTTCAATGCAATTGTTCAACACTGATTGCAATATATAGATCCTAATTGTAATAATAGTCGTGGAAATTGTGGTTTCCAATGGGATAATATTGTCACACATTTTTCAGATTTAGTTTTGCACATTGAAGTAATTTGTTATTCACGAGCAACATTTTTGTGATAAATCTATTTTGAAGTTACGTATAAAATATTATAAGTTAATAATTACTTCCAAGTTTATTAACTTTGGGAGGGTTAAAAAGATGAATAATTGTGAAAAATTAGTTACGAATACCTAATACAAATCTAAAATAATACGAGCTTCAAAAATAATGTAATTTATAAAATAAATGTCCGGTGAGCTTAAGTTTGTTATATTATAATTAAGTTAAAAAAAATTGATTGCCAAATGAGGGATCATAAAATAGAATTTAATTACAATTTACTTCGAATTTTACGTTTTGAACTTTGAATTTTTATTTTTAATTTTAACTAATTAATAATTTAATTTAATTAAAAAAATTTAGGTAATTAATAATAATATTAATAAATTGTTCAATTAATATCTCGTATTAAATCACAATTGAAATAAATACAAAATAAATATAAAATTGCATTACAAGTTATAATATATAATAATATGTTTAATAATATAACAAAGATTTGTTTATAACATGCACGTGAAGTAAAAAGTTAGGAATTATGCACAAATAGATAATAAACATAAGTAATTATATTTGTTATATTTTTATAATTTTCTTTTTTATTAATTTTAAATATATAATATATAGAGATAATCTGATATGATAATTGTTACTGAAATTTTTAATTAACAACGTTCATAATAAATCATAAATAAGAGCCTAATTTGAAGTTAAAATATTTTTGGAGTAAAATAGATGTGAGTACTTAAGTTACGTAATCAAAGCATCCTCAAATTTTTAAAAAATTTATATTCTTAAATTTGATTACTGTTTTATTTTTTCTATTAGTTTCAATAATTGAAAAGGATCTTAAAAGTAAAATTACTTCTTTACAATTGATATTTTATTTTAAATTAATTAAATTTTATAATATACTAATTGCATACTTTTAATAATTAAAGGTATACATTATTATTAACTATTATTTAAAATTGTTTATACTTTTCTAATTGAATTTTATTCACTTTTTTACTACTATTTTTAAATTTTATATATTCAAAGACAAAGACCGAATTAAAAAATAATATTTTCTAAAGAATGACTTCCATGATTTTCATCACTGGTCCAATTAATGTGTTCGGTTTACGTGTTCAAACAAGAAACATTTTCTGTAAAATTATCTCTTAAACACTTAAAAAAAAAGGCACTCAAATAGTTCAAATTTGTCTGAAACAATAGCTCAACTTGATAAGCATCAGTAGTGCGTGCATTTATGTCTCCAGACGTAACGGAGAACTCGTGTACAGTTTGACACAAAAGTATTCGAATTCGAGTTTTGTTTTTTGCTTCTTCTACTCTCTGAATTACCTATCACTATCATAAATATATATCGATATATTAACTCTATGTTCTCCATATATTACTACATATACTCTGTCAATTCCCAATTTTTGAAATACAACTCCAAAGATAAGAATAAAATAATAATAAAATAAAGTAGTCAGGAAGAAAGATATTTCATCTTTAATGTAATTAATTTATAGTAAATATTATCGGAAATATTTTCAGCTTGTTAATTTTAATCGAACAAAATAATTATTTATTTATTTTATTTGTTTAATAGCGATTGTCATACTGATTTGTTATAGATAAAAAGAAATTCATTAAAACAAATATTTAAAGAACCAAATACAAATGTAACTATCTCATTAAATATTACATTAATTAAATATCAGAACAAAATCATATTGTAAAATATTTATTCTTAATTATTTTTTTCAGTTTAGTAAAAATGTCTTCTTTTGCAAATATAAAGGTGGATCGTTTCTCAGAAAAAGTTGGTAAACACTATTATACTCTATATAAATTATGCTGTAGTGTAAAACAATCTTTATGTTTAATTTTTATTGAAAATACAGAGTATAAAAGACAAACCACATTTATATTGAATATTTTTGTGGCAGACTGTACGTATACATGTTTCATAACATACAAATTTTACAACCACGTAAAAAATATTAAAAGATTTTTTAATTTGAAAAATTAAATTTTTAGATTGCAATTTTTATAATTACTAGATAATCACATCTTATAATTATTTATAAATTATTGGACTTATATTGCGAATCATCTAATTTATCTGAAACATTAAAATTACGCTGAAGTAATTTATGAATTAGTTTAAACAATACTATATTTATAATGGAACAAATATTTATGACAAAAATCGTTTTATTCTTACCTCACGAATTATTTCCGAGATAGGTTGTAAAATGTGAAATAGAAGTCACTAAAATGTAACAGCTCGACATGACAATAGTGATAAACATGACAGCCCATGTATAAACAGTTCATATGATATTTTTGTGTAATTTATCTACTAATAAAAATAACAATTTTTATTTGTACTTTTACATAACTAACATGAATAGCAAGGTAGTAAGTAGTCAGACAAAGAAAAATCCTATATATAGGATTTATATATGTTTATATATAATCCTATATATATAGTATAAAAATAAAGTATATATTTATTATATAACAAATAGTAAGAATTAATTTAGAAACACTAACAATTATGAAGATTATAGCAAATATTTATGACTGTATTGCATAAACACTAAACACTGCCTTTATTGAATTTGGAAGGCGACATAAATGACAACGCAATATGATTACAATTTGTTTATGTATATTGTATCTTTTATTTAATGTAATAAAAATTTATGAGATGTTAATATTTTGTAATATTTTATTTTTTATACTATAGTATTCGAATATCATAGATGGCAGTATTTATATATTTATAATTTGTTTACTACTCGATAATTAATTAATAACTGTTGTTTATTCATTAATTATATAGCGATAATATTAACAAATAATTTAATCACCAAAAATTAAAATTCAAAATGCAACCTGGACCATAATATGTTAATCATTAGTATTATCTATGCCAATTCAAAATACAAATAATCATCAGTACCATTATAAATTGTAAATATTAGAATTTATTAATAATTCTTAATTCTTACACTCTGTCCATTGTGATAAATGGTATTTGTACTTTTTTATAATTTCACTGATATCTTTTAAGGATTAATGTAAAATATATCTCTAAGAAATACATACAAAGAATATCTAATTACACAGTAGTATCGAATTTAAATTTCCTTACAATGTTAAAAAAAGAAAAATATATGTATATTTTTTTAAAAAGGTAAAAATAACTTTGTTTCTTTAATAAACCAATACTATGATTTATAAACAATCAAGATTTGATTAATATCATAGTATATGTAACTATTTTTTATTAAATTATTATTGCAAATAAAATACTTTATAAATAAATAACAAATAAATATTTAATTAATAAAAAACAAATTCTATGTATTTATATAAAATAGTGCAATGAAATAAAAATTGTAATATTCCACTAATGTAACATAATGTAAACATAATTTAAATAAAAATTTTTAAACTTTCCCTAAATGAAACTTAATTTGATTCGATTTATAAGAAAAAAGTATTCAGTAGTATATAAATACTATTTTTAATTTATGTTATATTGTACATATAGTTTACTTATACATTATACTCTTATATTAAATATTATCAGAGTTTTAAAAATAGTACAGGATGACAATTTTTTCTATACACATTTAATATTTTATATTTAATAGGCAATGATTATAAAAAATATTTCAATTTTTATATTCAAAATGTAAAAAGTACCTTTTATTTTCCTTTCCTATTTTTTGAATAAAAGATGGATAGTTTATTATAATTTAAAGATATATCTACATCTATAGTGTCTTATTTTAGAGAAATAAGCGTACAGAGCATTATAAAATGTTTTAAAATACTAGTAACAAAGAATATTTCATTTCAGTGCAAATAATAATCTGTTTTATTTTTTCCTAAGAAAAATTTTTACAATTTATTATTACTAGAAAATAACTTACATTATTTTTTAAGATATATATATATATTATAATATACCCACAATAATTGTGTACATGTATTTCATTTAGTTTTAACAAAAGTTATGACATAAATAAATATACATTATGTATATTATTATAAAAACTTTTCTTTTCTTTTTTTAGTGTTTTAAATGGAATTATCATGTTAGTATTCTAATAATTAATCAAAAATAAATGGATTATAGCCAATAATTTATTCGAAAATATTAAAATTATATATAAAATTTTATTGAGTTTATAGTCTTCACTTTCAAAAAACAAGCACTGTGAAATTCTACCTACACCTTAGTTCATTGTAATTTAATTAATCAAAAAAAGAAAAATAATTAAAAACTTTAGTATCCTAATAATTTTGTATTGTGTACTTGAAAATTATAATGTTAATTATATTAACACATATCCAACTTATTGTTGGTAGGTGCATTTAATCCACCGATATCACCAGATTCAAGTTGTTTAAGTAGACGGAAGATTCTCTAATGCGACTAAATTCTATACAAAATGCTTGCACTTCAATAAAAAGTTCTTTCACATTTATAATTTTATTTCTAATTAAGGATTGCAAAAAAACACAAACCAAACGTACTAAGCGATTCTGCATATAACGATCTTTTATAGTTTCACAAGTAGAAATGCAGTTACTGATGTATAAATGAACAAATTCAGTTGGTAAATCAACAGTGGTAGTTAATCTGTTGACTACTTCCATTGAATGAAGAGACATTTCCATATTTACCAAAACACTAAAATATTCTGTTATTTGACTTGATTGCATAAGCTTTAATAAAACTTCGATTGCAATCAAAGGATTATTTTCTACCAAATCTGGTAACTTTCCTGGAGTAAGGCCAATATGATATACCAATTTTGGATCTCTATCCAATTCATTAACAAGATGCTGCTGCTGTTGTAATGTCAATACACTTTTAAATGCTTTACCCATTAATCCACGAGCTTCTGCACTAGCACAGTTTGAAACACACATGTTAGTATCATATTCAATTGTGAATTGAGAAGGTTCTGTAACATTAAACCATGGTAATTCATCAACTGAACGATAAAGAGGTGGTGCTAATCTTAAAAACTCAGGTTGATAACTTTGACTACATAAAGGTGGATCATTGGCAATTAAAATTTCTGTCATATTCTTTGTTGCATTTTTATCAATTTCTGTTATTTTGGAATGATCCATATCGGGTAAAATCACAGGATTTCCACATTTGGCAATGGAAGGTAATTCTGAGTGATGCTCTGCTAGTTGTATTTGTAAATTACTTAAATCAACAGGCGGTACAGACACAAAATATAATTCATCCACAATTTGTCTTGGAGTTTTCTTTAAAATGTCCTTTTTATTATATCCCAATAAATTTGCTAAAAGGTTTTTTTCACATTGTGATAAAACTGGTATATGTCCAGAAAGATTGGTCTTTGGCACTCCATTATTTGTATCTTCCTGGGATTTTAAAACCTGAACGAACACAGGTGCAAAGGGTGTCGAAGCCAGTGTTTCTCCTCTATAAAGATCGAATAACAATGCCACTGCTATTATACGTTGAACATTTTTTGGCAATAAATCTATATGTTGTAAAAGGAGAACTAATGTCATTCCTACTTTGAATCGATCTTCTTTAGGAAATACTTGATGTAACTGATGACATAGATTTTCCAAACTTGCATCCAGATTTTCTTCATCAAGGATATTCAATAATTTTGTTAAATCTTTAGGAGTAAGCGTCATGATGTCTAAGTAAGAAATTGAACTAGGTTATAGCACCTCGATTATGTTTCTTTTTCACGATTATATTCATGAATATCGTGATTAAAATAATAATTTTTCTTTAAAATTAATAATTATATGTAACATGTTAACTTGTTGCGTTTTAGTATACATATATTTGCTTTCGTTACATTTTATAATTGTTACTTTACAGGTTATGACTAGAATCCGAGTAGACTCACTTACTACACAACCTACAAACTCAAATGAAGATAGTAAACCATTTCTATCGCAGTATAGAATCGATTGCTACAAGATTACAAAAAAAAAGAATCGAAACATACACCCTAATCTTAAATTACTTTAGCGCTATCTATACCAGCATTTGTACCGCGCTAATTTTGAAATTTATATATTTTCATTACCACTAAAATTGTATAAATTTTGTCATTACATTCGTCTACAGATTATGTTTATTTCCTATGACATAAAATTATACCAATCTTTTTAAGAAATATATTTTAAGATATTTTCTTTTGTTTTTATACTATCATTATATTACATTATAGTATATACCATTACAAATTATTGAATTTATCTATGAGTAAAAACAAAAATGTAAATATTATAACAGAAAATGATATTAATACAAAAAAGTATGAATAAGCCTTATTAAATCGGCGAATCTTTATTATTTACTATTATTATTTACTATAATGTATCTAATAATACAAACTGTTACCTAAAATCATTTTTGAAGATGGAGTAAAAATTGTATATAATTCTTTTATATAATTTTATTTTATTTTATTTAAAAAAGCAAATATACATTTGTCTTAAAATTGATTATTACAAGTTAAGTTAAGGATTAATATAAGTATTACTTTTATTAAAATTTCAAAGACATTAATGTAATAAAATAAAATTATTAACCTATATATATTCCACTACATTTTTTAATTAATTATTTTCTAATTTTATCTTTGTACTTTATTTGTAGGTATGAAGCTTCAACTTGTAATAAACGAAAAACCACATAGTAAATTTTTTCCAGATTGCGATTTATGATTTTATGCTTTAGGATTTCCGGTATATAGAAACTAGACCGAGATCTAATGCATATAAATTAGAAAGAATCACTTAGAAAACGGCGCGTTATGACACGCTCGAAGTAGTTAGGTTCGCCAAGTGCACATTTAACTTCGATCATTGATAATTTATGGAATTTATAATTATTATCTAATAATATCGATAAGTGTTTCTAAAACTTTAGAAACGTTTCTAAAACGTAGAAACGTCAGTTTCAACTGTACTTGACCTTGCTTTATGATCATTTTTATACATTTCCTTCTTTCTTTAATTTTTTAAGTCTTTGTACAAATTACTACACATAATAAAATATTTAATTACCCATAATCACGTGAAATCTAAGTAATAACTGACAATCATAAATTAATAACTATATTTTATTTCTTTCCTTTCTTTAATATCACGTATAAAGGATCTAAAATTTGTATTTTTTATTGCCTGCATAAACATTAACCTGTCTAAATTAACACTTTAACGATGGAATTATTATCATTTTCTTAAATACTTTTATCAAATCTAATATTATTGACTGGTGATTATCGTTCACAGTTTGTGGATAATTCCTTAAAAGTGATTGGTATCTATAGCGGCGCTTCCGCTTTATAGAAATTAATCCATATAAGAATCATTTCGTTACACGCCTACGGCTTACATTCATGTAGTGCTTCTAGGCTAGGTATCAGAAATACGGTCAGCTCTGAAACGGTGAAGGAATGCCAGGGTCCCCCACTGTTCTCGCATACTCGTTCCACTCCTGCCCCCGGCCCTCTGTAAATTGTGTTGAGATGGAATCCCCACCTCATAGGCAGAAGCACCTGTTGCGCAGCTACCTGTTTTACTCGATCCATGGGTCCGTTCTCTCTTTTCTCTTTCTCTTACTGCTTCTCTTTCTCTTTCTCTTTAGTATCGTGCACGGTGTCACGGCAGTAGGACGGTCTCCGATCGCGGTGCTGATTCTTCGGTAAAGGGCAACGACTCGCGAAGTGAAAATAATGTCTCCTTATGCACGTCGAACGGAATCGCGGTGAACAGTGCGAAGTCTAGTCTGTCCGAAGGTTTAGGACGGATATTTCTTAGAGAGGAAACGTGAGTACGCTGCAGCAGCCAGGTTGGAAATGCATCGAACGAGAGTTTAAGAAGGAGCAATGGAGGACGAGCCATGGGATACCTGTTTCGGGACAGGAAATGTGGCAGGGGCTGTGATCGGTACTTTCCTTACAACGATTCTCCTGCTGCTGGTTGCTGCGCTCCTTTACAGACAGTGGCGTAGGCACAAGGGTAAGTTCCGGCATTTTTTCGTAAATATCGAAATATTATCAACTGCCGGCAATGGTGTGTCGCGGAACTTGTAATGACAGATCGTGGTTTACATTCGCGGTCCTGTGTTCGTTCGAGCGCGCTCTAGCTGTTAATTCAAGCTATCGCAATAAAGTTCTTGCGACAACTAATTTGCTATTCCGAAGAATTAATGATATTTTATCATCGTGAACAACCACTTATCATGCATACTGACTTACAGTTGTGTTTTTACGGCACCAGGCATATGTAAACCTAATGGAATTTATTGCACAATAAATCGGAATTTATTCCTACGCGTTACTTCTCCGCAACTTCTCTGGAAGCACACCAAATACACGATGCAAGAAACTCCGCCCCGGCACGCGGAACAATAGATAATTGCATGCGTATTTTTCAATCGATCGATTGAAAGTTGAAAAGTGTGAACATCCATACCCATAAATGCAAGCGACAGAATTATGTAACTAATTATCGTGTCTCGATAAATATAGAACATTTTGCAAATAGAAATATCACGTATGAGTGGAGATATACGAGATAATCGAAATAACCTATTAAGCAGGTTAGTTAACCTTTAAAGAATTGTCATAAAAATTCGAACGAATAATTACAGATCACGGAAGGGTACATATGTCAGCTTAAAATGGGGCTTAGTATTCGTTGCCATTTCGTGAATTCTATAAAAGTGTGTTGCATGTTACAAACCTTTTCGCTATTGCGTCGCAATTGATGCGTATATCCATGCAAAAGGTAGACCTTGGAGTGCCACTCGAGAGACACAATGGGACACGAAAGTCCCTCTAGCTGGATACATTGGAATCTCTGTCCGGTGGAATGATGTTTACAGATTAGAGCGTAAAATATCTTCTACGAGAAGTGCATTCCTTACGTGGGATCGTTTTTAGGATGATACCTGTTGTCATTGCGTTGCTTCGCTGGAATGCGATGCATGTGGGACGCCTAATAGGCGCAGAGCCGATGCAGTTAGCACTGTTTCTAGTAAAAAGTACGTAAACACGAGAATTATTACCGATTCAAAAGTGTAAAGGACGAAACGTAACGAGTTAATTTTTTAAACTTCCGTCCTCGTTTTTCTTTCTTTTTTGTAAATTTAGAAACTAATAGTTAGAAGAAACGCTCATGTAATTACGACTGTATCACTTAGCACAAATCTAAATTGCAAATATGCAATGTAAATTTTTACGAAATAGAAAAAAAGTATTTCTTTGAATCGTACAGTTGGCAATGTTTTAGCATTATAGGTTTAAGTATCTTCCTCGTACTTGTTAAATATCCCGTATTTCTTAAAAAAATAAAATTCGATAAACAATAAAAATTTGATGAAAAATTCCTTCGACTGGAATACGCGTAGAAATAAAATTAATCACTATGATCGAAGTAATATTTGTGATTGAGACGAATATTTGAGCCGTCTAATGCCACAGGCGGCAAATACACGGCAAGAGTTTTAATTTAGGTTATGTAACAATAAAAATTTAATGAAAAATTTCTTCGAATGGAATACGCGTAGAAATAAAATTAATCGCAATGATCGAAGAAATATTTGTAATTGAAACGAATATTTGAGCCATCTAACGCCACACGCGGCAAATACACGGCAAGAGTTTTAATTTAGGTTATGTAATAACCTGTATGGGTTGAAACGTTTCTTTTTTTTCGAGATTGAAACTTGTTTAACAAATAGTCTTTGCTTTCATCATTAATGTAATAGAATGATCAGCTACAAACTTATCTTTACGGTTGCATAATCATCGTTAGCTGGTTAACTAGTCTTCGTAAATTCCTGTGCTCTCGACTCTATCAATTGTTAATGAAAGTCCATATACCGATAATTAATTATAACTATGAAATATGAATTACGCGAAAAATAAATCGAAAATAAATCTATAAAATTTGATCCATATGAAATTATTGGATAAATATATAATATAATATAAATATAATATAATATATAATATAATCGATAAATATATAATATAAATAAATACCAAGTTAACAAGTATTGTTAGCAGTAACAAGTATTACTGCTTAACAGGGAAAAATATTGAAAGTAACAACACCGCGTAATAACATCTGTTAAAAATAATGTTACTCTACGTATCGAGTTACATTATACCGGATAAATGGAATCTGAGATAATCGAGCTTCAGATTATCGGTATTCTATTATAATTAAAAACACTTGATACGTTTAATGTAAACAGTGATTGATCCAACAACAATTTATTATTTATATCTAGCACCAGCGAATTTTTATACAAATAAATTACTACAAATAATGCAGTTATACACTGCAGGAGAAGAACTATACGCTATTTCAAGATGTTACTAGAATACATTAACACTTTCGGTTAATTGTCGGAAATTATTATCTCATAAAGTGGAAAACAGATAATAGCCGATGAATACGCTGATAAGGTGAGAAACACTCCAAAGCATTCAAGTGTTTCTAACAAGTAAATTCCTTCAGCATGCAAGTCGAAATTTTAATTCGTACGAAAGAAATTCGAAATTTAAAAAAATTTTGAAGTTCCCACTTGAAGAAAGTTTAAGAAAATTAAAAAATAGAAAAGCAAATTAAAAATCTATATATGATTTTTAAATTTTAATTATAAGTGAAATAATTTTTTTCTGTTCGTTTTAAATTGAAAAAGTTGCAAAATTTGAAGAATTAAAAAAATTTTGAAATTTGGGAAAACTTAAAAGAACTTACAAACTTCTTTAATTTCCCGTATAATACCGTCTGCACCGTATATTACTTTTTGCCACGTACATTCTCATTACAATTAACGACGATATAACTTTTACTTTGAGTTATTTGAATAATAAAATCGTTAGGTGGTTAATAAATTCACTAATAGCGAAGCTTATTGATTGTGAGAAACTGATATACTGGGATTAATGTACCGATAAATTGATTTCATTATATCATCGGACTTTTTATTATCTCATCCAAGATGGTGAAATCTACTCGGAAGCACGATAGCCTTCAAAACTTCGTTTCCGATTTTCCAACGTAACGTTCAAGGTACAGTAAAATACTAAAGACAAGTAAAGTAGAATGTAATACAAGCTGAAACATGGTTTAATTAATAGAAAAATAAGTACAATATTAAATGCACAGGTAATAAATGTATGCACTTGGAACAGTCAGAATGGAATGTACAATTGCGAATGTGTGTGGAAACGTATACACATAGGAGAATATGCTAAACATAGTAAATAAGTATAAATCTGTGGGATGATGTCACCGTTCATAGTAACATAATTTACGTAATGTATCTTAAATATCCTTGTTCCTTAAGGTAACCGAGATCTGTTTTAAAATTTTACCATTTTTCTTTATTATTTCGTACGTTTAATTTCATGGTGTTCTGATCCTAGTGTGCGATGTTGATTCATGTAACGTAATAAAAGAAGATTTCAATGTCGTTCGTATAAGGCGCATCTACACCTCTACCTCTTCCCTCGCGCCTCTGCATCGTAAAACTTAACTTTCTTAACGCTTATTAAGTTCCGTCTGCACATAACAAATGAACACAAATGAGCAAGCAAGAATCCAGATAGCTCGAGCACTAGCTGCCATAAATTCGGATAAATTCATGTTACTGTCATAACTGAATTTTTTATGGTAGCCAATGTATGTAATAATAGGTACTATTTGTATAGATCCGTATAATTGTGTTGCATGCATGTGTACGAATATAGATATATGCGAGATGATGGTTATGAAGGTGGTCAGAAATTCGAAAGAAGATTTTATTTATTATGCTTATTTATTATGCTAAATTTATATTTATTTGCTTATTTCGAGGTGCAATCATTGGCAGTAGAATAAAATTAAACTATTTTAAATAGCTAAATTTATTCCAGTTATTTTTTTTAGCTTATACTATATTCAAATTTTTAATAAAGTTTTAGTATTTCATGAAAAGAAATAATATAATAAGAAAAGAAATATGCGTAACTTAGGTCACTTTCATAATCCCATGCACGTACTTACATATAGTATATATTATATATATAGATATATGAAAATATTGGTATTGATATTGATACTGATAGACATAGATAAATTACATTGTAACTGTAGATTTTTGTATTATTATGATTTTTTTGCCAGAAGTCGGAGGATGTTAGAACTCCTGATTGAATGAGTAATTAAATTACCACGATGACAACTAAATTACTACGTGACTACAAAATTACTGAGAGTGTAAGTAATAAAGATGTCACCTTCAGAAATACAATATGCAAGATAGGAAATTGAATGTATTAAGATACGAAACAGATATGAAACACAACGAATATGAAAGAGAATTAGAAATCGTATTTTATATTACAAAAGCAAATATCAGAGATTTGGAATCAGTGAAAAGCTAAAATTCATATTACATTAATAACGGTAATTATGAAGAATGTTGAACTAATTTCTTCAATGAACAAAATTTTCTAGTAAAAAAGCGTTTAAGTGTGAACTATACTGAATTAAAATCTTTTCCAACAGGAAATTTTCGTTGAGAAAATGTTACGAATTGCATGAAATCTCTCTTAAATTACATGTTACAGCAGTGTATCCATTATTATTAATATTGATTTATATTTATTAATATATTGTATACAAAATATTAATATACGTGTAATTTATGTTAATATTATTAAGTAAATATTATTATGCGAATAATATTATTTCATGATAGCAATGCTACTTTTAGTTACATTAAAATCTTCAAAAAGTTATAAATTTGAAAGGAACAAAGAATATTTTATACCAATGTTTCATTTATTCTATTACACAATGAAATTATACTACAAACAAATATTTAAATTAATTTTCGAAGTGTAATATGTCAAATTACACTCGGAATAATTCCATTTAACTGGGATATTGATGAATTATTAAATCATCTTAATTTTGTTTCTATTAAAAGTATTTACGATTATTAATTATATTAGAGTTAAATAAAATAATAAACATAGAAAATTTATTCTTTCAGTACCAAAATGATTTTCATTTGTAATGCCAAGTACAAAAAATAATATGTATGTTAAATAGTTGTGCAATGAATTGTGGTGATTATATTATATATAACACACCTTAAAATATGAAATTTGCAGTAGCCTATTCGATGCAATACTCAGGCCCTTTTATGTATCTACTCTCAATACTATGAAAGAGTCAATGATTAGATAACAATTTTACAAGGCGACCGAATATTTGAAGAATATATTATAGACTCCATACTTACATTTTCCAGTAAAATAATTTATATTTATAAAACTCAACTTGGAACGTATATTCCACATATTTTTTTAAATAGTTACGTTCAATTTAATTAAAAAATTTTATAAAATTACAAAAATCAGTCACAAAAGTATAGACAAATTAAATGTTCGTTACATTTTGTAAGATATGGAAATTTTTCCTAATCTAATATTTATTATATTATTTTTTATATTAGTCAAAGATGAAGAAAACGTATAATGAAAAGTATATTAAAAACTAAGTACTAAATATTTGAATTATTGCACACTTTCATGACCAATTATACTTACATTAGATGTAGAAAGTATCAAAATATTTTGAAAACTTTCTATAATATTGCATTATATAAATATGCGAAGATAAAAATATTAATAAGTATTATTTGTGTTTTATTATACATATATTAACATATATTAATACATTTATATAATTAATATACATATAGTGGCACTATCTATCTATATATATACAGTTAATACATATTGTATCAACATATATATTAATACTAATATATTCAATACGAATAATAAACTTGTCATAATATACACTTATTATAATACATTAATATATTATATAATAAATATATTTTTTATTACTTGTCAATGATTGTAAGTACTTATCGTAGTACTAAATTGTAATATAAAAGTGCCGAGAAAGAGTGCAAATCGTCCATTTTATTAATTTTGAAACTATTTCATAAATTCGTGTAATAATTCCTTTGCAATAACACGAAACGAATATTTTTAGGAAAACACCTAGTGCTCGTGACGGACCCAGAAATCGTGGAGGAAGCTTACGCCTTCGATAATCCTTGTTTCAAGGATGTCACGACATCGTCGACTAGTCGAACTCGGGAAGGAGCTGTATCTCTGACACCTGGAGACACTCCAGGCAAAGATTCTGCACGATGGTCTACCTCTTGGACATCCTTGGGACTGGGTTCCACTAACCGCAACGATAAGCGCAAAACCCTCGACGATTCTTGCCTTGGAGTAAGTTTCTGTCGTCTTTTTCTCTTACTTCCAGTATGTACAGGAATTATGTTACAAATTAGAGCACGATATCGTGCTGCAGCGTTTCAGATGAAAATACAAAAAATAATATTGTAGGATGGCGAAACTGGAACAAGAACACAATAACACAAACTCAAAACTCGTAAACTGATTTAACTTAGGGAAACTTCACCTCCCCGTAGAGGAGTCGCGCAACTTAATTTTGTTATATAGAATAACTTTTCGATTTGCTTCTAGAAGATATCGATCGGTTTACAATTTGTTTTTGTTCGCAATAGCCGATTCGCGATTTCTTTTGGTATCCTACAATATTCTTCTTCGTAGTAAATAATGGATGCAGAAGCTTTTTAAAGGAAATCACAGTGACTATAAAATATACACTCCGTTTCGATATTCCGAACGTAGAGGGTATTGTGCATGGCCAAATTTGGCTGCCTGTACAGTTAATCTAGCCATCTTTGATACGTGCCCTTATGTTTCTTGGCGAAGAGGAAGTCCGTGGTGTATGAGTCGAATTACAAACTTAATTACAAACTAAAATCAGCATTCGAGACGATTATTTTTCAATTGTAATACTATCAGTTTCTTATCTCTCGAAAGAATACCAATCGTTCGAAATAACGAGAAAAGAGAGCGAAATATTATTTTGATATAATATAATTTACCAAAAAGAAGAATATTTTGATATAATTTATTTAGAAAGAATGCACTTGAATGTAGTATAATTTATTTTTAAAAAATGAGTATTCTAATGTAATATAATTCATTTGAAAGATGAATGTTTTGATGTAATAGCTGTAATTTATTAAAAGAAATGTTTTGTTTGTTTGTACAGCCGAAAGCAACGAGGATCAATTTAGTTAGCTTGAAAAGTCGAGATTTCACAGGACTTGGATTTAATATTTGCGGTAATATGAGAGAAGGAATCTTCGTTAAGGATCTCCTCCATCGTGGACCTGCATCGGAATCCGGTCGTATACATCCAGGTTAATAATTAGTTTTACACCTGAGAATTCTCTTAAGAGACATTCTTTAACTATAAATTAATTGGTACAAATTTTCATTCTGCAAATATCCTTTCTCATGCTATTATATAATACTTAAAAAAGTACAATATTAATATTATATAATACTTAATAATTTTAAATTTTAAACGAGTTCTTAAAATGATTTGTTTAGTAACTGTAAGAATTCAAAATAATTATCAACTATTCTTCAAGCTTTTAACAAAGTTCTATTCATTACATCTGTAAATATGCAGTATCTCGAAAACATCTTTTAACACAATGAATGAATAATATCAATACTTTGTGTTGATACCGACTAAATTTACCAAATATTTGATTAATATTTTATTTCTCGAATAAACTCAACGATATATTAGTAAATTTATTGTTAGTATTAATTTTGATTTATTTACTATCGGTAAAATCCAAATACTGTTATACATAAATACAGCATTCCTTCCACATATTATATATTTAGTAATTTGTTACGCAAACTCTTATATATCTCTGTCGTAGATTTCTGTTTGTACGATATTATCAATTTCTGTTAGTCATGAAATGTTTGCATGAGCAAAATGTCTATAGAAACCTGTAGATTACTCTATATAAAATATTTTCTAAGTAGATATAAATAAGAGAAAATGACGTACAAATCGAATTTTTATTTTCTTTTTCATTGTTATATTTACAGGAGATCGTATAGCCAGTGTAAAAATCAGTTTTCGAAATATGGTGTACGAGGATGCTTTAACGATTTTAAGTTACGCTTCACCATACGACGTGAAACTAGAAGTAGAAAGTGGAGGAATCGGATCGAAACCAACCACGCTTTTCAAAAAAAGCGTTGGTCCTAGCGCGGCAAGAATTTGCCACCCTTTGTACAGGAGTCAATCAATTCCAGAGCTCTCGCAGTCGAAGAGTGTAGCAAAGAGACTTTTTATAGTCGATTCGAACGAATCTATCAGTTCTAATTACTCGACGATGAATTCGACTTTGAAGTCCTCAAAGTCTACACCAAATAGTCAAACTTTCGAGAAAAGCCACGACGAATCCAAGAGCAATCACCACAAATTTGGCATCAAAGTTTTACCCTCCCTTGATGGTACTGTTCATCGCATTGAAAATCAAAACGAGCATAACACGAACCTTGAAAGAAGACATTCGAAGAAATTGGATACAGAAAAGTATCTGTCAAACATGAATAAAGCTCCTGTACTTAGCGACAAGAAAGAAGAAGCTCAGCGTCAGCAGACTTCGCATGTATTGCCAGGTACTAAAGAGAAAAACGACATTTTCAATCCACGTAACGTTGACACGTTAGATAGAAGTGGAAAAGTTAATGATGCGTCGATTCACGTACCATCAGAGGTACCAACGGAAGTCCATAATGCAGCTATGGCTGCTCGCAGGAATCGGAAAAATAGTTCTGAGTTGTTAAATACCCCGAAAAATATAGAATCTGTCGAGACAGAGGATTCTAAAAATCAACAAAAGAATAAGAGGAAAGCTCCACCACCACCGAAAAGTAATAATTACGATGTCGAATATATTTCTCCTGTGAAGAAAGATTCGCCAATTACGAAAGCGTATGACTCAAAAAAGGAGGACGAGATCAATAGTATTACCGATTACACAGAATCTTTATCCGAATATATAAAGAAAGTACGCGAAACCACAGAAAAAGTGGATCCACGCGTGGAACAAAAAGTAGAGACGTTGATAATTGATGGAAGGCATTCCGAATCCGATACTGACAGCGAAATACAAAACAGTTTTACAACTATCGAATTGAACTCGGCTGACATCACGATCCACAGGACACCTGTACCCGAAACAAACGACGACGAGGATGAAGAAGACGATGTTTACAGGAAAGCTGCGAGCTTAGGTGATCTATCAAAGTACGAATGTAGGACATCGGCAACTCTTGAAAGAGCGCAGAGTCTGGATATGACTGATACTGGCACGAAGAAACGTAAAGCACCTCTGCCACCGGAGGATATTAACGAATCTACCGAAGATTTGACTAAACTCGATCAGATAGATACTTTCGATAGACGATTATTAAAAAAATCAAACGAATGGGGCAATCTAGAAGATGTCGTGTGGCGAAAGAAACAGGACTCAGAAGAAAAGTCAAAGAAATCAAAAGTTAGAAAAAAAAGCAACGGCTCACTCGAACGATCTAAATCTGCTGTAGAGATTAAGTTAAAAAGCGAAGCTTCCGAATCAAAAGAAGAAAATTTCACAGACGATGAAACTAGTATCGAACTTTATAATCTTCCTTTGAGTAAGAGACTCACAGAAGAATTTATTCGTGCAGAACGAATGTTCAATCCAGACGAAGATAATTCTCTGATCAGAATTGTTAATGACGGACACGTTGTTAAAAGTCCTACACTCGAAGAAGTAGAATTACAATTTAAAAAGGAAACCTCACTACCTGACGACTTTAACAACGACAGTATGATCGTAAATGAGCAATTTTCGGATGACGAGGAGAAAGTACTGAACAAAGATTTTGGCAAAGCTTTAAAACACTTTGAAACGTATACACAAAAATTACCGACGTTCTCAGATTCTTCCAAACAGGATTTATTTCGTTTCAAAAACTGGAAAGAAGATAATTCATTAACGAGCAATGAGATGATTTCATATGCTGGTAAGAAAGTGGTCGAGGAAGAGCCAATGATAAAACTTAATATTAAAAGAGGATGCCATGCATGTGATGAGAATTGTAATCGTCATGAAACCTGTAAGAAGAAGTCCTTTTCCACGAAACGATCATCTACCCCAATACCTTTACAAGATTATTCTTCCAATTCAATGGAAGGTAACGATTCAATGACAACTAACGACGATGAGGAGCCAAACTCGATGTCACATATGCATGGATCAATGTTCAAAGACAGAGAAAGTAGAAGTGAAAAGTCATCGATAAGTTCAAAGTCGCCATCAAGACGGGTGATTGAGGTTCCCATGAATCAAAGAATCGATCGAGAAAATGACGAGGATGAAGATGAATATGAATTCGGTTCTGGTGTAACTATAAATAACAAAAGTTTATTCGATCGTGAGGATCGTCGCAATATTAACAATATCAGTGTTTCAAGTGGTGAAAACAGTGAAGATAGCGGATTAGTTGGTGAATCGATGGATTACAACCCACAAGACTTTGATAATCGACCACCACTCCCAAACACACCAATGCCACAGAAAATGACTTATATTACAGAGATCAAGCTTTCTGCTAATAGAGGAAAATTTCAAGAAGATGACAATGAGAACAGTGAAACGCTTTCCACAGTGGAAAGTAAGGGTAAGAAATCGGTACAAAGCGAAATCAAAACTACTTCAAATGGGAAAGCTGCTTCTAATAAGAAACCCCCTGTACCTCCTAGGAGAACAGACATTACGAAATCTAGTAAAAAAGGAAATTCTGACAAACAAGTTATTTATGTATCCGAATATAAATCCAACGAGTCGAAAGAACAAGAAGGATCAGACGTAAGTCATGAAATCAAACAGTCAGATAACTGGTCCGCAGAAACATGATCAATAAATAGTTTTAGAGGGTAAAAGACAAAATCGATAAGAATAAATTACCAGTGAATGACAAATAATCGATAATATTTCTTTAAAGTATAACTTTCAATCGTATCTTCTATATCGGTATTCAGATTGAAAGAGATAAATGTTATAAACTGAAGAAACGACTAAATATTGCAAATTATTAGTAACATTTCTTCTACTAACCATCTTCTTTTAGTTCAAGAATAAAATAGATATTATAATCAACAATGACAATTTGATTATTGCATACGTAAACAATAATTGGAACATACTGTACTTAAATTTCTTCATAGGAGGGAATCAGATTGCTGCTCGTTATATGTATGCGCGTATAGTATTCATCTTGAATAGATCTGCTCTTGAACTAGTCGAAAGAAAATTTATCTATAATCTTCCTCGATTTTCAGAAAAGACTGGCTCTTATTTAAAAACATGTTCTTTTGATCACTTGATAAAAGCGTTTGTTGTTATAATTATATTTATTTTACAACGCATTTCTTGTTTTACAAATTACTGCGATTAGAATTTGTATTATACCGAAATTGCATCCGTATAAGATAGTACAGTATTAAAACGTATCATACGTATTAAAAATCGTATATATTATATGTACTAAACATCATATTTCTATAATTCGATATTGCACAATCAACGTATATTTGCAAAATGATCCATAATATAATACAATTAATAACATTGTTAATATGTTTATATAACATGTGGTTATAAGTCTACTGACAATCTTCTAGAGAAGATCTGGGCAATTTAATACGTTTCTTAACTCCAATTATAATGTTTATTTGAATTAATTATTTAATTATAAGTATGATCAAATAAAATATGATTCTCCCTCTTTCTATGTAACAAAACAAAATTTAAAAAAATATATTGTAATGTAAATTAATTAAATTGAAACATATCAATTTATCATACTATAGAACAGTTTGATACAAGCTTTCATTAATCAAAATATACTAATTTAATTCTATAAATATTATAATTATAATATGTTTTTTAAAAATCATCCTATAAAAAATGGTCACAAAGCAACAAAAAGATATTCAGGTTTTAATAGCAATTAATATATACAGTTAAGAATATTTTGTCTACACTTTATATGAGTCTACTTTATACAAGACATGTACTAAATTCATTCTTCACCTTAGATTCAGAATCTCAGTACGGTTTGAAACAAATTAAGTACAAGGTGTTTTCATTTACTGATTCTGAATCACCACTTGCAGGTCTATTATTAACTTTTTCCTTTGCATTTTTCCTCACTTATTTCAGTAAAACATTTATCTATAGTTTCTTTTTTTTCAATAATTGATATGAATTTATGAATATTTACTTTTCATCATAGGAAATTAAACTAAGTATGTAAATGATTTCTAATACACATGTTTGCACAGATGTACTCTATCATATTAGCATCAAAAAGCATTTTCTTATATCTTGACCTGATTATATTATGCACATTCAAAAGCTAGAAAATTTCTGTTTATCAAGTTGCCTCTGCTTCAACTTACCCTGGTTGCCCCTATCATTAAATATTTAAAAAACTAAATACTATTACCATGTAATTTTAATTAATTATATAATAGAATTAAGACAATATTTTAACATACTACAAAGCAGTGTCAATTTAATACAAAAAAGTATATAAAAATAAATTTTTTGAGCACTTTAAAGATTTTTATAAATTTTATGTATAAATGACGAAAGTGTTATTATTTTTATTACCAGAAATAATTTGTTACTACTTACAGAAATAAAAATTGCATTTGTGCAAAATTTTATATCAACTAGCAATAATTATATAAGTGTATATTGTACAAATTTCAAGTATGATAGTATTAATTTAATCATGTAATTCATATAATACAATTAGTAATATTAACATTAAATTCAGAATAAACATTTTGCAGAATTAAATTTAACGTATAAATTTTTAAAGAAATATGTAAATAATTACAACACATGTGCTCAACATATAATATTAATATTTTATATAACATTTTATAGTAAATTTTATATATTAAGATACAATGTGGATATATTTCAATATTTCTTATCTAGAGCAATGAGAAATTAACATATTCATCTATTCAACAAAGTCTAAAGTAAAAGAATTAAGGATTAATGACCACATGATATATAAAAATGTTAACTGCAAGACTTCAGAAACATCTAATACGATTATTGATACTAGATGATACTTCATAATTTGATCAATACCAACACTAGGCGAGGCAAAGATCTACAAAAATATCCAAATGTTTTGAAATTTGTAAAAATATAAATATTTTTATGGATACGGTTGTTACAATTTTTTTGTTTCTATTTTGTATTTTATATTAACGCAATATTAACAATAATAGGGTAACATGGGGCAAAGTAAAATCTTAAGAATATGAAATAATGTTATCATTATGTATCAGTATTGTACAATATCCATGTTGTTTTAAATTACATATCATTATTTCATATAAAATATAAATTAGCAATTAAAATATTCACGATCTTTTAAACATGAAATGGCTGATTCTCGAAAAATATAATTTTTATATAAATATTAGTTAAATTTGAATAAAAATCGAAGCTGCAATTTTCTGCAAAGATGTATATACATATATATTCGTAATATACATATTATATAAATAACAGATATTAATAAAAATTCGCATAAAAGATTTTTTACGTATAAAACTATAAATTTTATATACAATGTATATAAAAATACAATACCCAAGTAACGTTAAAATCATTTATAAAGCTCCAGTTATACAAACGATATATCGATATCGATATAGTTAAACGTTAATTGTTGATTAATTATAGAAAAGAAATAATACGGAGTAATACTTTTTGAATTATTACACCAATTTTAACATTATATTTTCGTACTCGATATTACAATAAATATTCTCTAAAAAAAATGTTTTACTTTAATTTTTTCTCTATTAAACTCGAATCATGTTATTTACATTAAGAATTATATATTTACATTTTAATTATACGTTTTATCTTCTATCGATTATTATGATTACAATTATGATTTGCAATGTTCACACGTTCTGTGTATTCCTAAATATTAATTCAGACAATTATTCGAGTTGAATTGTATCGAAATAGAATTACGATTTTGTAATCTCGATGCGATATAACCTTTCCGTGTTTTATTTACTCTGAGTAAATGTTGATACAGACGAATTTAATGTAAAATAACTTCGATTAAGGACAGACAGATTTGTTTAACGTAAAACAGACGAAATAATCAGCTTTACCTCGTGTTACTCATTGTTTGAACTCAATGCAGAATGCTTTGAAAATAATTATACAGACATATACAGAATTTTGCCACGCTTGTTCATTGATTATGATAAACATAAAGGTTCTATTTCGTGTTATTAAATCCGTCCAATATATTTTTATTGTTAGTTGGGAATATTTGGAAAATGAAATGAAAAATGAAACGTTATATTATACACGTGTATATAGGATAATTTCAAAATAGGTTATCGAATTCTGAGGGACTACAATATTTAACGAGTAATTAGTACTACTACTCTATTTTAAAATAGTTAACAGCTAAATACACGTTGGTATAACGTGTTACAATTAAGTAAATAATGATATTTCTCACTGTTCACATTTGACTTTAATCAGTCTCATGTATTTGCATTATATGGATATCGATAAAAAGTATTTGAAATTTGCATTTTATCAATATCTGAGATGAAATATGATACGATTTGATTATTAAAAATATTATTAAAATTAAATATTAAATAGAAAATAAATACGGAATCAAATATTAAAGATATTATTAAAAAATTTGGATCTTTTCTTTTTTAATATAAAAAGAGATGAGTTTTAAATAAAATCTATCCTTTTATATTCGTTTCGAGAAATTAAATAAGATCTGATGAATGTAAATACACTGTACGCGACAAAATGATAGCGCATACTATGATTTTTTGTATTTTTTTAGTAACTTGAATGCGATATGGAATGTGGGGTTTTTATAAAGTAACATTAGAATATGATATTAATTATGCAGTATGCAGCAAAATGAGAGCATGTCATGATTTTCAGTATTTTCAGTGACAACATCTGAACGATATATCTCGAAAAAGAGTGTACAATTTTGAATGAAATTTTATTTACTTAAATTATTATTCCATAAAAGGAAAAGTATTATATATATAAGTTTGTCATTTTCAATGTAATTTTTGTAAATATATAGAGCATAAGAGATTGTATACATATACAGCATATTTTATCTCTCTCTTTTTTTTTTTAATATAACTTTAAGCGTAATATTAAATCAATGATTGAATTTTCAGTGATCTTTGACTTTCCTAAATATAACTATGTAATCATGCTAGATACGAAAATTCTTCTCATATACAAAATTTTTCATTTTTAATACTCTGTCATCGTATTTTATAAACAATTCTAGGAGAAACACAATTTATAATAGGGGTACAGAAAAGTTCTGAGCCTTTAGGGGGCTTATTTGACATCCTGAACAAGGTTTCTTTATAAACAAAATTGCTTTGTGTAGAACTCGTTACGCCCAATATGCATACAAACTTTCATTAAAATTAGAATTTTCTGGTTAAGCGAATTTTCGTATATTTTAATGTCTCGATACTTTTTTTAGTCATTGTACATCTTTGATTAATTCATTTAATTATCTTTATTCACCTTCGTTCATCTACCTACTGAATCTAACATGATGGGGAAATTTTGTGACTAGATCCAGAATCAGCACATAAAAATATGTAGAAAATCTTTGCACCCTCAAAAAAGATCCCGAAATCTCGTTAATCACATTTTTCGCACCTGTGGTATCGAATGCATAAAGAAAAATGTGACTAATCTTCCCCAACATAATTAAAGAAGGTATACTTTAGATATTACACAAGGAGGAAAATTTACTGACAAAAATTAAAAAACGATGGAATTATTTCCAAATTTTTGTACACCTTTTATCTTCTAAGACCGAGTACATTAAAAGCCAAAGTAGGATTAGAAGATAATTTTAATTAAATTAAATCAAAGATGACTAAATCAAATATTATTAAAATTAAAAATAATTTTTAATTTTAATCTGCACATCGCAAAAAATGAAGAATATACGAAAAAACGTGTAAGTCGTTACTTTATTTCTTAACTTTTAATATATGTAAATGTATGTGCAAACATGTTTAATATATGTAAGTGTTATATGTGTAAACATGTTTAATATATGTAAATGTTGTATATGTAAAATTTTCAAACATCGCATTAGTACGAAGAAACACTGAAGATCGCATGTTGTGCTATCATTTTGTGGCGTAATGTATTTTCATAATTATATTGATAACTCGAAAATAGTTTAATATATCTGTAAGATTTTAATTGATACATGGGTGCTTTTTCTAGTCTGTTCATTCGATAACCTGTTTTAGAATCACCCTGTGTGCATTTCGATTATGTTATAAGGCTGTGTGCATACATGAATATTATAATTCGAAAAATGATTCCTTCAACAAGGAATTAAATAAATAAATTGTTCAATTGTTCTGCGACAAAGTATCTTAATTATTAAATAACGTAACGATTTATATTTTCATATTCCTTAGATTGATATTGGTAGTAATATTAAAATTTTACGTCTCTAAATAATCTTACATGTAAATACGAGATTATATATAAATTAAGTCGTTGAATTTTCTTTTTTTTTTTTTTCTTAGTAAGCTCTTTTCCTTTTTTTTCTCTTTTTCAAAATTCAAGTGCAATTTCATTTCTTAAATAATATATACGTACGTTTTTCTTAAAAAGCAAAAAAGAAAAAAAAGTGTGTACAGTTACAAATGTTTTCCGTTGTAAATAGAGGCCAGTTACGAATAAATATGTTTCCTGATGCGTGATTCGATTTGAAACGAATGATCAGAGACGAAAATTTTGTTATGATGCAATTTTTCTTGAACTTCTTAACAATACTAAAACTTAAATATTTTATAACTTTTACGAATGTTAGTAATTAATTAAGCAACAATTTTATATATATATATACATATGTACGCCAGAATAATTGTAAGTACGTGACAAACTCCCTCTCTGAGTTACATCTCGAATGATTATACATTTTTCTTAGTATTAATTTATATTTAACAAAGGAGGAAAGCTCAATTTAATGCTTTAAAAAAAATTTGAAGTTTTATGGTAAAAAAATGTATTGAAAATGGCGAAATACTTGATATTATTTATCTGTTGTCAAAATGTTGACAGAATTCAAGGATGCTTTCTATTAATCCACACTTCGAACGAATGACCGTTTAAATATCGTCATTTTCTGTACATTTTCGTTTTTATGCATTTTTTAATTGTTATGTACTGTCGACGATTCTTATCATATAAGGGTCTAACAGAGCGAAAGATTTTATAAAACCTATGTATAATTGTGGATTGCAAAATTTTGTAATAAAAATCTAAAAAAATTAATGCTAAGAATTTAAAAAGAAAAAAAACAAGCAAGTATTTACTAACAAAATGAATGTAACAATTTAGAAATTATATAATTACTCATGTATTAGACAGACATCAGCTTTCTGTGGTTAAATAGATTCTTTTTAAAGATATGAAATTTTTAGAATCGTCTGATGTATGTAAAATGTTGTAAATATAATATGTTATTAATACTTATACTCTGATACCTGTATTTCAGTCCCTTAGTTACATAGTTAAGAAATAACTATAGTTAATTATTATAGTTAAGAAATTTGATTCTTCTCTAACGAAAAAATTTAAACAATTAGGATCGTTTAAGCTGTAACCAATTTAAATTGCGAAAAATCAGTCATAAAAATCTGTGGAATATCATAGATGAAATTATTTTTTTAGAACATATCCTATATTTTGTAACGTTTGGTTAATATTTTTTACATCTGTCGAATTAAAAAGAAAAAAATCGAAAAACTAACGATAAAAATATTCTGAGTTGAACTCAAAAAAATATAATTCTACACAAAAACTAAATAAACATTTTTTTATACAAAATTCTGCCCCAAATTCTTAGATACAATTATATTACTACAATAACATTATAAAAATTCTCATTTTTTCATTAATGTTTTAACGTTTAAAAATTTGGACATAATTTTACCATAATAAGATATTTTACATTTCTAAAAATATAAAAATTTATTCATGAATTATTTAAAGTAAGTCAAAAAGATATCTAAGTTATGTATATAGAAATAATATAAAGCAACATAAGTTTCTAGAACTTTTAGTTAAATAAATTTCACTCTACTAAGAAGTAAATAAAATCTATTAGAATTTATAATGCACAATTGACTGAGCTTATGAAAGAAAATTGTATTATATGCCAACAATGTTAATTCAGTTTGAAAACTTTTAAATTTAATAATGATATTTAATTTTTATGTTTAATTAAATATTAAAAATGAAGAACAAGATTTTAAGAAATGAATTTGTATGACAGTTTTAAAATACTATAGTTTGCTTGAAAAATACTATACTTTGCATATATTACATGCCTGACATTGCATCTAATATATATTTAGTTTATATATCATATATTATTTAATCAAATATATCTAAAAAAATAAATGTACTTTCTGTATCTCATCTCATAAAAATAAGTTTATTAAAAAATATTATCTAAATGATGTACAAAGATGTTTAACTAACTTAATTTGGACATATATACATTTACAATGTAATTGTGTAAAAAGGTAATTAATCTAAAATTTACAAATCTGCAACATACATATATAACAAATTTTAATACATTAAAAACTTATTATATTACAAATCTTAAACATGATTAACATATTTTATTTTATATTGAAAAAATACTGTAACTAAATTATTAACCTTCTTAAGTGATATTAATCTTAAGTGATATTAATTAACATTTAATGTATATTTTCACGTAATAAGAACTCTTATTATATATAAAATTCACAAGTTTATATTTAAGAAAATATTACAACTTTATCTTGTACAAAACATGACAGCAGTTTCAAATATAATTTTATACAGATAATAACTTAATATATGAGAAATAGTTTAAGAACAAATTCTACATTTAAAAATAGAGAAATTGATTCATATTAATATATATCTATTCTGTTCTCATTTTTAGATTATACAAATTGTTTTATATTTGTTTTTAAAATTATGTTTATGCCATTACATAAACATCTAGTTATTGGTATTCCTATTCTTTCAACTTATTACACAATTATTTCAGGATGGTTACTATGCTTAATGTTTGAAATAAAGAAATAAAATCAGGTACATTACATTATTTACTTGTCTAACACATTTTGTGCATTCATTTCTTCTTATTGTACATAATCAAAATTACTTGTAATTAAAAACAAAGTTGAGTTAGACATACGTATATATTTATTACCTTCATTCTCGAGTACTGAATTATTCCTTAAATCATTTCCCAAATATTAAATTATGTTCCACAGAATCACAATTTACCTTTTAGAAGAAGAATTAACTATATTATTTTGTTAAAATCACATAACAAATACATTTAGTTAATTATTACTTATATTAACACAATATTTGTTTAAATCAAATTAATTACTTTATACCAAGTTTACAATTATTAACATAAATTCACAAATTAAGCCCTACATTTTATGTAGCAGACTGTTTGTAGTTTTTTGTACTCATTAGTTTTTTACCACACATTGCACATATAGCTTTTTTATATGCACATGATTGACAATAATGTGATCCAACTTGATGTACTTTTTGTCTACAGATTCTACAAGTTTCGAAGGTAGCAGTATAAGGATTAAATCTTGCTTTCCCTGCAGATAGAGCTTTATTCTCGCCAACTTTACGTCCCCCACTTTCTACTGTATTCCTTGCACCGCTTTTCCATGGATCTGGGGTTATGACTTTTCCTAATTTTTTTTCACACTTTTCACAAACCATTTTGAATTATGTTTGAAAGAAATCCTAAAATTCATAATAGTAAAACAATCTAATTATATGTAATCATTGTCTTATCGATATACTATATGTAGGTTTATAAAATTGAATTGTTTTGTGTTTTTAAATGAATAATATTTTTAATATACCTTTAAACCCTTTTATGGTAATAATCAAATATACTGTTTTAATTAGTACACATTTTACACATGATTTGCATTAATTTTTCATCATAAACAATACCTATACATAAACAAGATATTAACTGCAAAAAATAAGTGACAAAAAATATCTAACCTAAATACTATAGATTCATCACAATCAACAGTTAACAGATATAGGTCTACTTTTAATTGCGTGTCACTAATAGATGGCGCTTTTCTGATTCACTTAAATCAATAAAAACTACATACCGAGTATGTATATAATAATATATAATATGTATATATATATACATGTGTGAGGTACACATATGATATACATATATGGCAAAGATATTTTAATAGCCCTTAACCTCTCGACATGGTAGAATTTAAATTATAATAGATATTTTTCAGTGGAAATTTTGTAACATATACGAGAAAAATAATTAAAAGAAAATACAAATTAATATTAATATTAAATAGATTTATAACGGATATTAAAATATATATATAATTCAGAACTTTATAAGGATAAATTAATATTTGCAATTCTAAATAGTAATAGAAATATCTTCATTTATTATACTTATTTATTGTATTTTATATTTTAAATATTGAACATACATTATTAGAAAAAATTAATTTATTACTTTATACATTGTATTAAAGTATTTTTTTATAATTCTTGTTTAAAAAAATTCACAAAATAGTAAACTAAACAAAATAATAAACGGCACATAATAATTTAAAAATCGAAATTAATAGTTAATACAATTAGTATGTATATATTTCTAAAAAGTTACAGCAAATAACACTTTTTTCTTAAAACTGCTATAGTTAACCTGTATATGCACGTTACTGATCTTGAAATAATAATATCATTGTCTTTAGAAAATTATTATTATTCTTAAATTAATTAAAAATAACTATTTGATTTTTATTATATCGAAAAAAATTGATTCTGCTTTTTACAGATGATTGCAGATTGTGACGTACATACTTGTTACAGAACATGAAATAAGTAAAACATAGACTTCTGAAAGCGATGCAATAGAGAAACACTTATCTATATATATGTATATATATAGGTAATGTGTTTATAACATATTATTTCTCTTAATTGATGTTCGTAACGAAATAAATTGATATATATTTACAAATGCTCTTAAAATGAACAATCCACTTACTTTTGTCGTTTAAACATTTCTTATGATATCGTCAACAGCAAAAGCGTATATCAATCAGCAAATAATGATTACTTCATGTAACCTATTTGTTTATTATTTAAAAATAGAGAATGTTTAAATATCGAAAATATTTAAAATATATATATTTTATAAAATCCAATTTGAATCAGTTAGTGTAATTAATACTATGTTTTTATTATCTATTTTATATTGAATTCGTTTAATTTAACAGTTATCACACCGTTTTTAAACGCAGTTAAGAAGCTATTCAAAATAGAACAAATTAAATGTAGTATAATAAAAATAACAAAGTTAATTTTTTTGAGCCTAAATTCTTTTTAATCTATAATCGTAGTTTTAAATATATATTTAACAGTATAGACATTAATATAATGATGGTAATGCAAAAATATATATATTTCGTGAATTTTAATCCTCGTAAACAGGAGAAAAATCAATTATGTACAACAACATTTTATTTTTATCTTTGCACGTAAGATAAGGCATTTTAAGGCACATTGATTTTAAACATCTTATAATAATACATAGCTTATCAGTCTTATATATTAACAAAAATATATTGTACTTACAAATTAGAAAACAGGAATTTATTTTATTTTGACTGAAATTTTGATAAACTCTATGTAATTAGAGATAAATGAACTCAGTTTATGCTGTTCCGTGCTTTTTTCGTCTATAATTACATTTTTAATTACACTCTCTGCTTCTTAAATTTCTAACGAACGAATTAACTAAAAGCACCAACAGCTCTCTGCTATAGAGAATTTTGCGCATTTAGAACTGGCGCTGACTTTCGGTAGTTTGATTAGAATCATGCGATCAACCCTCTAGTCGAAAGCGGTGAGCAATGTTAGTGGGGGTAAGAGGGTTGAAGGAAAATTCGACGCTAGGGGTGGCGTACAAGTGTGGGCGCCATCTATTCGTTCAGTGCCTGACTATCCTCTGAAGACCTGTGTACTCGCGATCGTATTACCAGATTATTGCGACATTTCGTGTGACAATTTAATTCAGTGCATCGTGTCATAACAAAGTGACGAGTGTACGCTTAAGAACGGATACAATAAGGTAAATAGAAACGATAATAAAAATCTTCCTAAAAGACGTACTTTGTTCGGGTGGCTGCCATCCTCGATGCCAGACACGCGTTAACATGTTGGATCGATTCCTCTTTCTCGCAAGTCGTATTACGATGGGAGACTCGAATAGAAGACCTGGTTATGGCTTTTTAGTCTTCTTTTACAGTGAAAACGTGCATTCTGCTTCATGTTTCTTTTCTTTTCATTGAATTTATTCGGAAATGAGTAACTTCATGTTCGAGGAGGTCAAGTCACCCTCGAAATCTCTGGATGGAAAGACGCCTACAGCCAAAGCCCTTGTTCTATTTTTTCCCAGAAATTTATATCAAATATATAAGAGTTTGTGAAAATTTCGTCGATTTACAGTTCCTTTAAATACAAGTTTAATTCGATTTTTCTCCCTTTTCTTTGAATGCAAATACAAATAAGATCGTATGATCGATTTCTTATTGCGAATTTTTGGTTTATCAAAAAGAACAAATTCGAATTTAACTCTTAAAATACGGTCTCAGATTGAGAATATATAATTTCTATTTACGTATTAGACAACAGGACTTGCAATATTCACGATGCTCTCATTTTTAAACAGATGTATCTAGGAGTAACCCTGCATGTCACTTTAGTCGGAAATGTTCGTAAGAACAATTGCTATAAAATACATTTCTTTTATGCACAAATTCTATTTAGAAATTCGAAGAATGGTATATTCATAACATTTAATTTGTAACGCAAATTTGAGATGTAAAGCTTACTGTAAAGAATGAAACTAAAAATGGATATGGATGTATATAGTTGTCTGTTGGTCCATAATCTTCGAAAATTAAATACGACTTTCGATCAAATATTTTCATTCGTTTCAATGGAAATGTGGCTTAAGTGACATCTACAGTAGATTATATTACAATTTTCATTTGATTAAAAAACTGTATTATTAATAGCACTATTAATAAATATTATAGTTAACAAAATATACAATAATTAAAAGAATATTTTACACGAAGGAAATAATTAAACACGACAAATTTTTAATGTGTTAAAAAAAGAAAAAAATACAGAATGGGTTAAAATTAATTTTTTTTTTTTTATAATTATTACGAATATAGTTTCCTAACAATCTCATTAAATATAATATCACTATACTTTATTTTACATAAGTGTATATACATTCTTTTCCTTCTTCTTTTTTATTGAACTAAATGAATATACATTTAAAAAAATTATTGGATATAAATGTATTTCATTGATTTTTTGCGTTTATTTCTTACAAGAACAACTGCATGTCATGCATTTATGTTGTGTGAGATAAATATTTATTTGATAAGTAAATATAACAACCCTAATTTGCATAAAAATTCGATGTTGTAAACAAAATATATATTTTTAATCACGTAATATGTATTAACTGCACAATTAGATTTTTAGTAATTTTTAATTCAGTTGAAAATAAAAATGGCGAATTGAATTATTTTTTATGCGAATGAATATGAAATACATTATCTTAAATGGAACACATTTAGTCGTCATAATGGTTTAAACGTTTTCTTTAAATATCACGTTGCGAATTTTTAATTAACGAATTATTAAATTTAAAGACCTGGTAATTTATTAACGAAAAATTTATGGAAGCAGATTTGTATGTCCACTTTTATTTTAGAATAATTATATGAATTTAATATTAAATTCATAAAAGCGCCATCACAGCGTTTCGATATTACTCGTAACGTAAATCTGCATTTCATGTTACAAACATTTTATTCCTTATAGTAATTTTTTATTTTTTATTTTTGTTGCGGCAACTTCTATATATATAACCATTTACAAAGAAAACAAAAATAAAAAATATTTGAACAAGATGTCAGACCAATGTACAATATTTATAAAAAGACATATTAATTTAAAAATTTATTACACCGGTTAAATTACATGGATTATTATTATATTATTATTATCATTATTATATAAACATACATTATTACATATTATATTTAAATATTATAAGAACATAAAATATAATGAAAACGTAATACAATATTAATATTACCGAAATTAATGTGCAATTAGGATTTGTTTACGTCAGTATTTGATTAATTATATTTTTCACAAAATGACCTGGTTATTTATATTCCTTCCAAGTAGTAAAAACAAAATTGAACAATACTTTTTCCAAGCATTGAGTTATATTTTGCAATATTAACTGCCAGAACTGAAATTCATCTTTACATTAATAGACTGCATGTGTTATCAGTTGTCAAATTGATAAGTACAATAAAAATGTCAAACAAATTTATGGTGTGACAAAGAACATCGTGTATCATCGACAATACGTGCGATAACGTTTTAATTTCGAACAGAAAGGAGTTGAATATGCGTACGCAGTATGTTTAATATTCTATAACATTACCGTTTGTTTATAGGTTAGTTCAGTTTAATACGAATATTAGTAATATCTTATTTTGAATATTTCAATATCTTCGATGAAAAACACTGGTCAGTTGCCTTTAAATTCTCGTTAAATCAGTGATCATTACACAAATTTTTTCAAAGCAAATTTAGGGCAAGTAACGTCCTTTATTCTTTACACATTGTAAACTGAACTCGTGCGAGAGAGATACACGCATATCCATGGCAACCTACGCTGTAACCTTAAAGTTACCAATAATGGTGGAATTTGACATACTACATCATAGGTATGTAGATTTACCTAGGCCCATTAAACTTATTCGATGAAGAGTCAATAGATCTCGTATGAAAGGAGATTAAACAAAACGAAAAATGCGTATTGAAATATAACCTCTTGAAATTAATTTTTTCCATCTTTCGTCATATTTTTTCATTAAATTAATATTTTTTATTAAAC